GTAATGGGAAAGCTCGGACAGTGCAGAGAATAGAGGTTACCTGTACTACTTCTAATTTACCAATGCCTTCTCCAAAGTTCAAATTTGAAATATGAATTTTGGAATGAATTTTTACTTTATCTTTGTAAGTTCACTATCCTTATCTATGCTGCTCCTGTCTTTTGGTTGATGTAAAAAATCCTTAATGTAAGTGAGGAGACACAGCTTTTTTTTTTTTTGTCATCAGTGCTATGTATTCATCTTTGTAAGAGAAGTTTAGTAACCATGTCATGCACTGTTTGCCAAACAAGATTTCAGTAAATGTAACCTAAATGCCTGGCATGATTTGACCAAAAAACAACCAAATAAACAGTGGATAAATACCAACTGTTCCTCTTAAGTCAATTAAGTCAATTAAATGAATGCATCTTGAGCTCTTAATAAAAACATTCTAGTCAGCTGTCAAAGCAGGAAATTGTCTCTGGTATTACAGAAGCTAATTGCTTCCCAGGGTCCTCTCTGTTTTCAAATGATCTGGGCAATAAATTCTGATCCTCTCACTTTATCTTTTGGATATTTCAGCACTTCTCCATCAATCCTGCCTGATTCTTGAGGCGTATGCTTGATGAGCAATGGATAGGTACCCAGTGTCTTTACATCCTCAGAACAGGGATTGGGTACTGTAAATTGTATGACTCAAAAGAGGATGTTTAAATGTGATTTGTGTATGCTGTTCTTGTTTTCCATCCCTTTAGAAAAGGAAAGAAAAGGAAAAAACATTTTTTGCTTCTGAATCAGCAGGCTTTTGAAAATTAATAAGCCTGCTGTTACCCATTCATACTGCTGAGTGACCTGCTTTTGTTGTGCACTGAGCTGCAATAAAATAAAAAAGGAGATGCTGTGAAGGAGAACTCACACACATTATTTGAATGCATAACCAAGTTTGTTTACTTGAAAAGAACAATAACAGTGTAATGAACGTCTGGTGTAGTGTTAAGTACATCCTTGTCCAAATTTGATTTATGTGATCGTTCCTGGATGTTAACTCAACCATTGTTAACATAACCTCTGTAATTTTTATGTTCGCACTGCCTGCGGGCACGCTCCTGCTCAGCAAAGAAATCTGGAAGAAAACTTGTAGCAGCTCCTGGTGCAGGAAACCTCTTTCCCTGAAATAACAGCAGTCGGGCTGTAGTGTGCCATAGGTCGTGTTAAGGTGACCAGATCTGTGAACGGGAGGAACTCTGTTAGCAGAAAGGCAACCGCTATGGCTTATTAACCTCTTGAAGGCTACCAGACTTCCTCTTGAAGGTGTAGCAACCAGACATTGCCTATGATCTGATATTATGCACGCAAGATAGGGATGTCAAGTGACCTCATGAAGAGTTTATCTTAACTTGCTCCCTGCTAAAACACATCAGGAGATGCACTGTGAGCTCAGATGAACGGTGTTTTTGAATATAAACATTAGGATTTGTGAGGAAAGCATGGATGGTCCTCAAAGTGTGGAGTTATGTTAATACAGTCCCTGAAGTAATTTTGTTCAATATACAAAAATGGGATTCTCCAATCTCTGTGCTAGGCAGTAACTCCACAGGAGAAGAGAATGCACATCTGAGTGAGACATGTTGTGCTGTTTTATGTAAACAAAACATTCAGAAGTTGCCACAGTGATTAAACACAATTCTCAAGGGAAGTTTTATGGGTATAAACAAAAGATATTCTTGCTCGCCTTTCATGTTAATTTCAAAATTGCATGTAATTACTAAATTCTTCCCACATGAGCCTTGCAGCTTGTTCTCTTTAGACAGATATAGCATGCATTTTAGTACCCTGAATTCCACAATTGTCATTTTGATATCTAGAAAGATATTTTTGATTAATTTATGTGTAATTCATTTTAATCTAACTAGCAATATCTGCCAGTAACTTTTTATCTTTTCAAGTCATTGTATGACTTACATCAGGTGTGATCATCAAAAGTTTGTGCTTAGAACTTAAATTGAAATTTACTATTGCCAATTAGGAGATGGTATGCTCAATGTGCAGCTCTGTCATTCACATCATTCACTTCATCTTAAAACTGTGTCTTGATTTTTGTCAGGTGGCGGATCCCATGCACCAGGAATGGCTCTATGCTGTTGGGAGATTCTGGCTTGGTTTTGAGCTGAAGGCAAAATCTCAGCGTTTGCTCTGAGCTGCTTTGCTTTTGACTCTTTTTGATCTTTTTTTTTTTTTTTTTTTCCTCACGTGGTTATGTTTTTAACACTGATGAGAGGAGGAGAAAGAGTGAATGTTGATGAGATGGTAATAGTTGAGTGTTGCATCATAATGAGGCATGTTGCTCAGGCTGATACAGTAACCCAGTAAAGCCTATAGTAATCATTTGACAAGTCCCATGACTCATAGACAAATCAGTTGTTATTGGAATGACCTAAAGGACATGCTTTTAACGCTAAATACTTTAAGACAGCATCCAAAGTCTGCATGTTGATAGACTGCGATGCAGCATTTGGGCACTTCTGTCAAGAGCCCAGTTTGAAAATACATTTGAATACTGTGAATTTTTTCTCATAAGAGTAGATGTGCAGGGCAACAGACTGTTGTAGGTGACCTTTATTTGCATAGTATTTTGCATGTAACATAATGTTTATCTGAAGCAGGTTCCGTTTCAGAGGTGCTGTCTGCTGTCTCCGTGGCTTGTGTTTCAGTTGAGACCCATGATACATCTGTGAAACAGTATGACATAGCATCAGCAACAAATTTGATGGTTCAATCTGGAAAATTTTTCACAATAAGAAATGTTTTATTTCTACCTGATGTGTGAGTGTTTTGGTAGTGTTGTCTGTGCTGCTGAAACAGCCAGGTAATCCAGCAGATAGAACACAAAGTTCTTCGAGTGTATTTCTGCTTGTTGGGACTGCCCAGACCATCAGCTCTAAGATCATCCATCTGTAGGAATTCTGCATCTGAATTTTAAATAGTGACAGGTGTGGGGCAAAGATAGACTTAGGGAAATTGGAAAGTCAAAAAACAGCTGAGACAGATTAAAAAAAAAAAAAAAAAAAAAAAAAACCAACAATGATTTTAAGAGTGTTTTACTATCTAGGAAATAAACTCAGTGCCAGCAACTTACTTCACTTACTTTAGTAAGTGAAACAAAATGCAAAGACAGGAGCCCGCCAGACATATAGTTGTGACTGGATAACTGCTGCAATGTATATATGTTAATTACCCTTTCAGTAGGCCATGATGTTTCAGCATTTAAAACGTGTAACAGCTCAGGAAGGTATTGGCACATCATACCTGAAAATCTAACTCCAGGCTGGTAGCAGTGACATTGTGACTGTTAGCATTCCTGCTTTTTCCAAGTTGTAATAAAGCTATTTTGTGTGGGTTTTTTTTGTTATTAAAACTCAGTGGAGTGTTTGGCACAAATCTGTGACTTACAAGTCTAAGAAAATACCTCCTAAGTTATTTTAAGTATTTGGTGATTACTGACTTTCTCTCACCCCATAACTATGTTGTTTGAAAACTGTTGGATTATATAAAGAAGAAATTTGCTACAGTAAGTGCTCACATCTGCTCCTGGAGAAATCCAAATATTGAACCATCTAAGGTTTAAAAAAAAAAAAAAAATGAAAGGAGAAAAAAAAAAAAACAACTAATCAGAACTTATCAGAAAAGAAACTATTGGAATGATAAAACACATAAAAGCAATATCCAAATAATATTTTAATTTCACAACAGAACAAATGAGCAGCCCTGTGGAGAAGGATCTGGGGGTCTTGATAGGTGAAAAGCTTAACGTGAGCCAGCATTACTGTTTTCTAAAAGGAGTGCTTAACTATCAATTTCTTGCAAGGTTCCTCCCATCAACAAAGCTGTCATATCTTTCTTACTACCTTCTAACAACTGCCTCTTTTTCCAAAACTTAGACCTGACTGCAAAATGCAAACATTCCAGTTGTGCATGAGGTTCTGTTAAAAATTCAGATGGAATGACTTAGGTCACTGCCAGCTTTAGGAGGCCTGCATAGTGCTCTCTTCTTAGCGGTAATTTAATTACACTAATGACAGATTTAATCACTGTACAAGAGCTACCCTTTTTTTTTTTTTTTTTTTTTTTTGTGTGTGTGTGTGTGTGTGTGGCATATTTAGCCAGGTATGAATGTTTCCTAAAATTATCTGGATGCTGACTTGGAGGAACGTATTCTTTTGCATAACTAAAAAGGGAAGGAATTACCTGTGTTTACATCCCAAGTGGGAAAAGGACGTTTCCTTCATTTATAGTTTGCTGTGGTATATGGAAAGTGTAATGCAGTGGGGTTGTTAACCTACTCTTGCTTCTTCTTTTTTCTGCCCTTTTCCAAAACCGAGTCCTGCATTTGTGCTCTCAGGCCGTATTTTGAATTCTCTCTTGGTGTCATGCTTTTGTTTCAAATTGACAATGAGAGTAGTTACTGTATTGCAAATGCTGTGCACAAGGCCACCGGTGTCTGCTTGGAGTCTGCCCAGTATAAAGAAGTGCTGTTAACTTCTTATAAGCTCCAGTTGTCAAGAGAAGTTCCCTGTCTGTTTGCCTGCAAGAAGCTTTCCATTTTACTATGGATCACGAAACATTACTTCTGTTTTTTTGCAAGAGACCAATCATGCTGCTGTGCCAGTCCTGTCTCATTTGCCTACCTATTAACCCCTCCACAGTTACATGATATATTCCTCCCATGGTGATTTAGCTTGGATCACATTAAAGCCTGTGGCAGTGTCTTGAACTCAGACCTTCCAACTCCTATATTACTACTCTGTTTACTGGGATGTATTTCTTTTCTGAACTAAACAAATGTATTACGCTGAGGTATAGGAATTTGGATGTTTCCCCTTCATGAGGGCTGGCAAGAAGCATGAATGTTATCACTTCTGAATCATTATAACAAATTTTTTGCTGTGTCTCTCTAATAAATAATTGAGAACGTTGTCCTTGATCTTGATCTTCATGGTTTCTGTACTGATTGCTTTTTGTAGATACAACACTCTCAGGGGAAATTGGCACCAAGAAAAAGGTGAAAAGACTGTTAAGTTTTCAGAGGTATTTCCATGCATCCCGGTTACTCCGTGGAATCATACCACAGGCTTCTCTGTACCTGCTGGATGAGGACTACCTTGGGCAAGCACGGGTAAGATGGGTCTCCAGATCTCTACACATCTTAAAATATTCCAAGGAGTGTAAGTTTTGTTTCATTGTTCAGATAAGAAAACGTGGGAATGGCCTCAAGTTGCACCAAGGAAGATTCAGGTTGGATATTAGAAAAATCTTCTCCAGAGGAGTGGTCAGGCACTGGAACAGGCTGCCCACAGAGGTGGTGGAATCACCATCCCTGGAGGTGTTGAAGAAACTATAAGATGTATTAAGGGACATGGTCCAGTGGGAAATGTTGGTGATAGGTGGACAGTTGGACTGGATAATATTGGAGATCTTTTCCAGCCTTGTTGACTCTCTCTGAATCATTCTAAGCAGTCCTCATAATACAACTAAATTTGGTTCTTAAACTTTGGTATTTCAAAGTACATCTCTATAGCTTTCCTGAGCAAAGCTTTGATCAGGTAATTGGTTCCTGCAACTTCAATATGGAATAATGATTTCAATCTACTTTGCAGTTTGACATACCAACTTCTTCTTTTTGTATTTGTTTTTCTAGCATATGCTATCCAAAGTGGGAACATGGGATTTTGACATTTTCTTGTTTGACCGCTTGACAAATGGTAAGTACTTAAAAAAGAAAAATATGTATCTAGTTAGGGTACCTTATATATGACTATCTTAAAAATGTCCAACTAATATTTTACTGAATTTTCCAGTTTAGATTACTGAAGAGACTTGGACACAATTAGCTCCTCTTAAAATCATATCCTTGATCTTTTCAAGCTTTTACCAGAATGTTCATAACTACTGGAAAACATTTAAAGTGTGGGGTTTTTGTTTTGTTTTTTTTTTTTTTTGTGTTAATGTAATCTGCTATATTTGTTATAGTCACGTTTTGCTTATTATGAATTATTTATTAGTTTCAAGGAAGTGTTTCAGTTTCCTTTATGTAGAAAACTCCAAAGCAACTTTAAAACAGGCCAATTAGATACATGTGTAGATCAGTTGATAATGCCTTTAACCAAAAATACCTTTACTTTGGGTCAACAATCTGGATAGACTAAAATAGGAAAAGTATGTAAGGTGTTAAAACTCAGTGAAACTGGAGCATGTCCAGAGAAGGGCAGCAATGCTGGTGAGGAATCTGGAACACAAGTCTTGTGAGGAGCAGCTGTGAGGGAACTGGAGGTGTTCGGTCTTAGAGAAGGGAAGGCTTAGGGGAGATCTTATTGCACTCTACTACAACTGCCCAAAAGGACATTGTAACAAGGTGGAGGTTGGCCTCTTCTCCCATGTAACTAGTGATAGGACTAGAGAGAATGGCCTCAACTTGCACCAGGGGAGATAAAGGCTGGATATTAGGAAAAACTTCTCCAAAAGAGTGGTCAGGCTCTGGAACAGGCTGCCTACAGAGGAGATGGAGTCACCATTTCTGGAGGTGTTCACTAATCTAGGAGATGTGGTACTAAAGGACATGGTTCAGTAGACAATATTGATGGTAGGTGGACAGTTGGACTGGATGACCTTGGAGATCTTTTCCAACCTTATTGATTGTATGATTTTAAATATGTGCCTATACTAGCATGTGCCAAGTAATATCTGTGCAGTGAATGTGGGTCAGGCAGCTGCTGAAGAAGTCACAATCACACCTTTGGCCTTTCTGTATTGCTTTTAGGAATGAGAACCCCCAGTCCTTGCTCCCAGTCTAAGTAGTTTGGCTGTGGCAGAAAACGTAGGAAAGCTGGTTTAGAGGGTAATTTGGCTGAGCAACTGTCAGGGAAGAGTGGAAAGAACTGCAAACGGCAAGGGAAATAAAAACATTTCTTCCAAATCACCTTTCTATGCCTCTGTTCAGTAGTCAAGGCCAAGTAAGCCTCCATGTCCATATGTTTGTTTTCTTTCCTGAGTTACGTTAAATGAGCAAATACTACCTTCAGACATTGTTTTTATTTTGTATGGGTTGGTTTGTTAGGTGTTTTTTTCTAACTGTTCTGGAAGCGTTGGCATTGAATTACACAGCGCAAGCTTTTCTAAACACTGTGTGTACGTATAATTGATCATATAATATAGTTTGATGTATAGTTAGGCTCAGTTTTGTCAGTGTTCCTGCTATGAAATTCACAGTCAGACCAACATTACCAAGTGGGACTTGAGATCATAAATCAGTAACTCATTTTCATGTCCGCATCATTGTGAGATGCACTTGCAGCTGAGCTAGCTATGTGCATTACGTACATGTTTCACAGTCGTGTATAAAATCAAAAGCTTCAATTTGCAAGCTACAGAATTCTCATTAAGTAATCAATTTGTACAGTATGGCAAGCCAAAATGGCAGAAAAGCCATTTGCTCTTTCTGTCATTTCTGGAGGGAACTTGGATTATGAAGATGGTGTGGTTTACAAACAATCCTGTCAGAAGATTTCCAGTGAATCGATTGGTCTTCTGTGTCTAACTGAAATAGCAGACGCAGTGGGACACCAGAATAGCATTTCACTGACACAGACAAACTGTCAAGTCTTGTTTGTGCAAGAGAATAATATATATAAGCTATTATTGAGTATATGAGTATCATCTAAGCTAATGTGTTGGGAACTAAGGTGATAGGAACCAAGTAAAAGGATACTACCAACTTTTTTAGTCTTGGTTGATAACTACACGTTTAAAGCAATCTAAGCTGTTCCTCTCTGCTTTTAGGAAACAGTCTCGTAACACTGCTTTGTCACCTCTTCAACGTGCATGGACTTATTCACCATTTCCAGCTAGATATGGTTACATTGCATAGGTTTTTAGGTAAGTGCTCACCTTTAAATCATCATTAAATGCAGGTTGCAGCTTAAATAGAGCCTCAAAAAAGGCATTGGCTTGTTCTGCATATCTGTGCAAAATCACAATGTTGTTTTAATTACTTCAAATATTTCTGTGATATCTACTAGGGTACAATTAACAGGCAGTAGGGGGTCTCAATTCAATACTTGTTAGGTCAGTTGAGTGTCTTAAAAGACTCTGTATTGGACTTAAGCATCTTAATACCACAGCTGCACTGATGATTTAGAAAAATGTCATGCAGAGATGTGGCAGGCAGAGGAGGCCCACACAGACAGATGTGCATTGCAAGACCTACCCGTGCACAATACAATTGTGGTACAGCAGCATTATTTCACTAATAGACCACTGAGACCCAGGGCAGTTAAAGCTTAAGTGCAAAATTTAACAAATTATATCAAGCTGTCTACACTGAACAGTGTTGATGAAAGCCCCTGCTGCTGTTACTGCCAACAGAAATATTAGCCCCATGCTGTTTACGAACCAAAGGAAGGAATTGGCCAAAATCAATTGCTTTCTGCATTATGTTTTGAATGCAGCTGAATGCTGTTTTTTCTGAGTGTCAGATAGAGTTTCAAAGGCAGGATCTCTTAAAAAAAAAAATGCACCACTGTTACTTCTGGAAGTCTTTCCTCTGATGTGGAGACAGATCTCCCTGGCTATTCTAGCTGCTGTGGCCTGACATGAGGTGAATATTCGGTTAATGAGAGCTGAAGCACGGAGGGTATAAAGAGTTACTCACTATAACTTCAGATTAACTGAAAACATTGTGTAGGCTGGGATTTGCTTTGATGTAGCCCAGGCTGGAGGCAAGCACTGTGGTAATTTTATCTGTTTGATCAATTTGATGGTGTGAAGAAGAGCATTTTGGGTGAGGGCACATGCAACTTCTACCATTTGAGTTGTATTGCCCCAAAATGATGCAGGCATTGCTGCAAAGAGGAGATGAACATGAAATACAAACCTCAGTGGTCTTCTGTGCTAGTGCAAATGAGAGTTAACAGGGATGCATTCAGATGGAACTCTTCCAGTTCCACAAACTGAAACAGGAGGAGAGACTAGTATTTCAAAATGGAAGCGCAGATGTGGCTGTCACAGGAGATCTTTCTTCAAATACGCAAATGCAGTATCTTTTAATTCTCTGTAGGAATGCCTTGGACTGTAGTCCTCAAACAGCAAATAGTGCCAGGATGTGAGGGCCTCTCCTCCTGCTGCTGTAAATCAGACTGTACTGCCGTAATGACATATTACTCCCCTGTGACAGCAGCCTAAATAATTACACTCCGTTGTGGATAAGTTTGCCTTTCTTCCTTATTTATTTTACTCCTGAATGAGAGCCTTCACTAAGGCAAGAAAGAGTTGATTTATGAACTAGACCGAGTGTATCCCCATGGGCCTCACAAATCCTTTCATGCATGTTTTTTTTTTTTCTGAAGGTATCGCAATAAGAGCACCAGTCTAAGTTACAGGTATTTGAAGAAACTCCTTAGGCAGCTGAAGGCAAAACCTCAAATTGTATTTTAAACCCAGTTCCCAGTTGTGGTCATGGAATTCAGAGACAAAAGGATCTTTGTTCTGTTTTGTTTTCCAGTTATGGTTCAAGAAGATTACCACAGCCAGAACCCTTACCACAATGCTGTCCACGCTGCTGATGTCACGCAGGCTATGCACTGCTATCTAAGGGAGCCTAAGGTAAGGACAGCCTTTCACATTGACGTTGCTTTCAGATAATGCTCAAAGTTGCTTTTCCAGGATTAAAAAAAACAAACACTTTAGTACTATTTTTTAGATAGCAGAAAATTATTGCAAACTTGAAGTCAGCTTACAATTTCAAACAAGCTACTCAAGTCACCTCCCATCCTGTGAATTATGTGTCTAGGTGCTGTTGTATGAGCTCTGGCAAGTTTTGCTGTGACAGTGTCACCAACCATCCACCTGATGTGGCAGTCCTCCCAGCAGTGCCAGTAGAAGGCAGTGCCTGCCCATGCCTCGGTCACTTCAGGGCATCAGCCCTCATGTCAGTATTTCAACACACTAAATTTGGCAGTGGAACACCAAAAATGGGCATACGGTCCCTTTGACTGGTCTTGTTGAAAGGGTGTCCTCTACATGAGCCAGCAGCAGCTTCTTAAATGTTGCAGTAAGCCCTCACAAAATGAGAGTTAGACAATTATGATGTTGTTTAATGCATTATTGGAAGGCACTTTAATACTGTAATCATAGAATCATAGAATGGTTTAGGTTGGAAGGAACCCTTAAGATCATCTAATCCCCTAGACCATAGGCTATAGGCAGAGATACCTCTCTCTCGACCAGGTTGCTCACAGCCCCATCCAGCCTGGCATTGATTGCTTCCAGAGAGAGGCATCCACAACTTTTCTGGGCAACCTGTTCCAGTGTCTCACCACCCTCACAGTAAAGAATTTCTTCCTAATGTCTGCTCTAAAAACCTCTTCCAGTTAAAAATGATTTCCCCTTTTCCTGTCACTACACGTCCTTATAAAAAGTTCATCCCCAGCTTTCCTGTAGGCCTCCTAAATAATGCTGAGCCACAGTATAAAAGCATAACTAATCTTTCTTGACCTGACTTAAACAAAACAAAATTATGCTAGAATTAGCAAATGTTTTGACCAGAATATAAAAATTGTGAGGACAGGAGCAAGCCTCAGTATTCCTTCACTTCCATCTCCTGCAAGTCTCTTCTGACAAAAAGTGCAGAGGACGGCCAGCATTCATCTCTGTACGAAACTTGTTAATTCCTCATCCCAGCATGCTTCTTTCCTATCATAGACTGTACACACTCATCACGCTAGTAATAACTAACTCTCAGAAACATTAGATACTAAGTTTTTTGGTTTTTTTTTTTTTTTTCCAGTGACAACACAATTTGCTTTGAATAATAAACTACATAGTAGAAAAAGTCTGGGTGGTTTTTTCAGATTTGTATGTCTGAAGTTGGAAAATTAAATAATACTCTCCTATAAAATACCAGCATCTGATCTGACATAATCTAATGGCCCATTTTGAAATTTCAAAAACTTGTAAGCACTGCATTTTAAGCATAATGCTGTTCCAGAAAAGTGAAGCATGATGTGTTGTTGGTGTTGTTAAATAATGAGCGAGGATACTAACACACACTGGCCTGCTGGTGTACTTACTATTTTAAACTGAATCTTTTAGTTTAAAACCTCTCAAAAACCTGTATAACAATCCATATATTGCTATAAACAACAAAAAGATGAGAAATACAGATTGTAGTAACATTAACATAGTCTGATTCTTTGTAGATATTTGTTCGATAGTCACCTCGAAAAGGTTGTTCTCAGTTTATTAGTTTATTTCGTTTTTGATGTCTGTGTACAAAACTGAGCAGTTCCATGTAGTCAGCTGGTTTGTTTGTCTGCCAAAAGGGAGGGATGAGGCCAGGGGAAGTGTTTACTGTTTGCTTTCTTGTTGTGATTAATATGTGATTCAGCTTGCCAGCTTCCTCACCCCATCGGACATCATGCTTGGACTGCTGGCTGCTGCAGCTCACGATGTGGATCATCCGGGGGTCAACCAGCCATTTCTGATCAAAACGAAACACCACCTTGCCAGTCTGTACCAGGTAAAAATACTTACCAGGTCAATAATATGTACAATGGTGTCAGTTTGTATTTCTTTTTTTCTTGAGCAAGCACGTAAACAGCAAGGATGTCTTAAATTGGCATGTTAAAGGAAACTTTTGCTTCACATGACTCTAGGAAAATGGAACAACTAATGAATGCAGCAACTTAAAAAAAAAAAAAAAGCAAGATTAAAAAAAAACAAAGGAAGAGTTGTAGATATTTACACAAACATCCCAGAGATATAAGGAAAGGACTTTAAAGCAGCCACCATAGGTCATGCCACAGACTGTCTAGACCAGTATCCTGTTTCTGAGAGCAACCACTAAAAGATACCAGAGAGAAACAGATGCCTGGGATAAATACAGTGTTGTCTCTCACCTGGTAGTTATCCTCCCTACTCCAACAAGCAGTAGTGGAAGGCTCCCTGAAATGAAAGTACAGCTCACTGATGGGTCAATGACCGTCAATGAACCCATCCTCCACTGTTTTCTGTGGTCTTTTCTGAAAATATTTAAACCTTTGGCCCAAGTTAGTTACTGCATTTTATCTACAGTTGTCATTTATGTATAATCAGGCTATCTTTGCTTGCATGTGTATGTTATATGTACATCTCTGTATTTATAGACTTGAGCGATGCCATAAATCATTTTGGTTTCACTAAATGTAATTCACAGTAATTAAATGGTGATTGTAGGGATGTAGGGATTTCTATCCTTCAGAAGAGTCGACTTCAGCCTTTGTAAGAAGGTATCAGAACTAGAATATTCTAAGTTAAAAATTAATCGGAGGAAGACTCATTAATAGCTGTGTTTCTGTGAAAACAGAAATCAAGAGTTTGCTGTGACTTGCTTTGTATATGTCAAGAGGTTATCTGTTGTTTTGCCCTACCCAAGCAACATTTGAGTTTAACGTAAGAAATTGGTGGTATGTTCAACTGTCCTGTGTGAGACACAGAAAGAAGCTGGGCCCTGGGATTCCCAGCTAGAACATGTTGATGCTGAAAGACTCCAACCTTTATGACTGGCCCTGTCACAGATTGGAGATTTTGCCATAGTCCTGAAGTTTTTGTTGGGGCAGCCCTCTAGTTTTTAGGCAGTATTTGTGACAGAGACTTCCTAACATTCTGCTTCTAAAATAAATCTCTGCTACTGATAATTTTTCAAAAAATAATTTTAAAAAAGTGTGGGAAAGTAACCTCTAGAGATCGGAGCTAAAAACACCAGCCTGCAAGCCATCACATGGGTTTTCTCCCTGCTTGGATTATCTCCCCTCCAGCCTAAGTGATCAGATAACTAATGGCAATTAGGCTTAATAAGGCAGTAGAGTGTTCCTAGGTGGAATAGCTGACTCCTAATTGTTGGCAACAGCTTCAGGGATTCTGGCTGCCTGCATTTAACAGGGGTGTCATATGACTTCATGCTCACTTGTCACTTGTTAACTTGACCTTTCCTTTTCCCTGCTCCATGTACTTTAAATATGGGATACTAGATGCTGTACTGGCTTGAAGTTCTCAAATAGCAGCAGGCAAAGAGCGGGAATTTACAGAAATGGAAATCTGGATTGAATCCCTGACTTTTTTTTTCCTTTGGGTAACTATTAGTTCGATGCAAGGATGTGCTTGGATGCCTACATGCTAAGTCGTGCTTTGGCTCTCCTTCATTGTGACCAAATGTCAGGCAAGCAGGTTTCCATATAGAGCTCAGGAGTGCTCCATGCCAGCACAGTAAAAGTAGAGGCAGAGCAGAAGCTGACAGTCTCTCAAACTCAGCTGTGAGCCAGCCAGAGAGAAAAGGAAACAAGCGCCTCTCTCCATGCAGGTAAAGCATTTGATGAGCCGTGCTTTAGAGGGAGAACTGAGGTCTGACAAGGTGGGCAGAGGGCCCCCCAGTGTGCTCTGCTCTGTGCAGGTGGCTGAGAGCAGCCACTGCCAAGAGGTGCAGAGACAAAAACAAAATGCAAAACATTTCTGTTGGAGTTCTGCTTGTAGCTGAGAGCAGACAGGAGAACAGAAGGGAGAAACCTCCCTATAAACACAAGAAAAGATGGGTATTTCACACGTGCATCTACAGTGTTTTGACTTGAAATTAACTTTATGCCATATTTTAATTCAGCAAGCCCAGCGTAATCTTTTCACAGATATGCTTGCTCTGCATTCTTGACCCAGCAATCTTTCCATGTTTATGTTGATAGTATGACAGAAGAGAAATGCAGACAACCCAGTAGCAATAGCTTAGCTCAAAACAGCTGCAGCAGGCATGCAGGGGCATCCCTTATTTTTCCCTTGGTCAGAGTACAGGGGTGCAGAAGCCCATCCTGATGTATTTAGGCAAGAAGAGAAGAAGGATATTTAAGTTCGCTGATGATCAGAATTACTGTCAAAAGTCATCAGACTTGTTCTTAGCTTCATAGCTTGCTTTGAGTTCTTATGGTTGGAAAGTTGTTGTTTTGTTGTTGTTTCTCCCCAGTAACTAGGGTTGATCTTAGCTAGAATACCTACAAGCACAGTGAACTTAACTCTAGAAATCCAGATAGATTCTTCAAATCTGTCTAAAGCACAGATTTTCAAATCAGTTTTCTTTTGTTTTGTTACAGCAAACAATTTTCAACCAATTCTAGGCATCACGAGATGTGACAGACATGTAACTGTGCCATATGTACCTGCCTAATCCTTGCATGTATCCCTTTTGTTCCTACCAGAATGTTTCCGTGTTAGAAAATCATCACTGGAGATCTACAATAGGCATGCTTCGAGAATCACGGCTCCTCGCTCACCTGCCCAAGGAGGTGACGTAAGTGTCAGCTAGAGAAAACGCATCTCTTAAACTAATCCTTGGCTTCCATCACTCTCCTTCAAAGGGGCATGGGCAGAGAGGTCAGACTTCAGAGTAGGCTGTCCAACTTTTTGGCTTGCCTGGGCTACACTGAGTGAAAAGGAGTTGTCTAGAGCCACATCTACAAAGATTGCTCCAAAAGTAATGCCTCCTAATTATTTCCATGGAAGCTAGAATGAATAGAAAGAGCACGACAACACTGTTTAATGGAGCAAATTCTCAACTACAACACAGTAACCACCATTAGCTGTGCTTTTTCACCAGCGGTAAATAAGATCCTGCATGTTGTGCTTATAAAAAAAATCTGCACTAGCAGTGGTGACCCACCATCACCATTGCTACTGATGAAATGCACCACCCACCCACCGCCTCACTGTGCTCACAATCACTACTCGATCACCATCGATATTCAGCAAGCATCAATAAATGCCAGTGGGTGCCATTGTTTCCTTATGGAGGAGCTCCGTGACATGCACTGCTTCATGCCATTCTGTCACTGTCCCTCTGCTGCCATCTGTCGCACAACTGTTGGGAAGGTTCAACCCCTACTGCCTACCACCACCATCTGCTTCTGATGCCATGGGGCAACATAATAAAACAGGAGACATAACTTTCACAGCAACCCTCTGAAAAAATATAATGAATGTATATAAAGTAACTAAACTTATTTTTAATAAAAACATTAAAAATTAAACATATACAGAAGCAACTGTAACTGTAGTAAACTGTAGTAAAGCTAGTGGGATATGTGGCCTTCTTTCTGTGAAACTAACGCATCAGTTTGGTTTGATGGCAGTGGCTGCAAATCTCAGTGAGCTCTCAAGGTGTTTATCAGAGACTTTCTCATGAAAAGCGTCCTGTGGGCTGCAGGTTGGATGTGTCTGGAGTAGGCTGAATGTCCTGCTGCTCTCACCAAGAAATGGAGATCAAGACAATGAATACCCTGCAATACTAAGATTTAATTGCAGGTGACCTTGCCAGGAATATGAACAAGTTACCTGGAAGCAGTAAGCTGTGTTCCCCTCTAGAAATCCTTCACATCAAACCGACAACTTCTGTTCAGTACTACTTTAAAGCTGCATTATTCAGCACCCAGCTCAGAGCAGCTGGAGTAAGATGTGTTTTTCTAGATGCACCATGTTATTTATTTTTCCCTTTCCTACTCCTTTCTGGAAGCTTTCACATCCACCTACACAAACAAGTGTTTTTCTTCCCCATTATCCCTTCCTGCCAAAGCCATTTAAGCAGCTAGAGCAGTTGTATCCTATCAACCCAGCAGAAAATGACCAATCTGATCAGTTTGGATCCATAAAGATTGTGGGAGTTTTATGCTAGCTGTGGTTTATAACAGGTTGTTTTGAGCTATTAGAGTCCAATGGTTCCATGACTGATGGGGCTTATTTTCCTTAATTGCAGACAAGACATCGAACAGCAGTTAGGCTCCCTGATCTTGGCAACAGACATCAACAGACAAAATGAGTTTTTGATTCGTCTGAAATCTCACCTTGACAATCAGGATTTGAGACTGGAGGATGCACGAGACAGACATTTTATGCTTCAGGTAAGTTCTAAAAATTTGTTACCACTATTGTTTTCTTATTTATTTCTCAAGTAATGGTATTTCCTAGTACACATTAGAACAGTGTAGGACAGCATGTCTGACCAACCGCATCACCTCACCTACCTCTACCTCCTCTGTTACCTCCACCTGGCATGTCAGGAAAGCTTAAGATGCCTCTACTATTACCTTATGTGATCTCCTTGAGTTTAAAAAGCTGAGAATGCAGCAGAAACATGAGTGTCACATGCTTAGAAACGATGATAAGCTACTGATTATTTCTAGGCCACCACATCTCTTTCAGATAATGCCTCTATTTTGTTCTCCTTATGGCAAATATCGCTTTGCTGGTGTTATTTTCTAGTGATGAGCAGGAGTGCCCCCTTCTCGGTGTTCTTCCCCAGACAACCTGACATCAGGTGTTCAAGTTCTGTTCCTGCGACTGATGTTCATAAACTGTCTCTGTGGAAACAGCTGTTGCCATGGCAGCAGGTGTTTCTCTACTGGATCTGTCCAGCTAATGAAGAAACCATGTTTTATTTAAAAATCAAACTGATTCAAACTGATTCTTTTAGCTAAGCTTCAGTCATTAACAGGCTCTTCAAAATTAACCTCTACCTATTAACGCATTATTGTGATTAAAGTAGCTGTATATACATGATTCTGTGCAGAAATGACATCAATTTCTTTTTAAATACATAAAAGAGTGTAATCATTGTCATTTACAAAACAAACATTTTCACATTTGCACTCTGTCGAGGTTATGGGAAAGGTGACAGCTGTGAGGAAGTAAGTGCTGATCTGTTGCTTCTTCCCCTTCCAGAAGCGTGAGAAATGCAGAGATCTGCTAGTCTGTTCTCCATGAAACATGGTTTTCTGTCAGGTTCCTGCACAGCCCGCGCAGGGCAGGATGATGGGCTTATCATATTTCTGGATAGATTAGGCAAGACAGTTAGGCAAATGCACAGGGCTTACAGTTCTCCACTGTAGCAAAAAACTGTAGCACTTCCTTGAAGATAGATAGGAACTAGGACAGAGGCCTGGTGAGATTTGTTTAGTTGGAGGATTATTTGTGGAAGAAAGAAAAAAAAGAAAACAAGAAGTTTTAACCTATCCTCATCTGTGAAAGAATCTTGTTTTAATACACAGTAATATACAGTAATGTTAAGCCTACTCAATTTAATCCAGAAAGAAAAGAGGCTTGGAGACCTCCCTCCTCTGGTTAATAGATATGAATTTATACAGGAAACACTTCTGTTTTCCTCTCTGAGTGCCAGATGAATTCTGCGCTCTGTCCTGCTGACTGTGTTCAGGTTATCTGGGAAGATGAGTGGCTCACAGCACCTTGTTCCAAGCAGTAAGATAGACAGACCATTACATAGCTCACTTTTCCAAAGCAGCTACTTGATTGTAAAAATCTCTTGCCATGCTGTACTCATTCCTCTGCAAAGCACGTAATAGCACTAGTTAGCTAAGTGAATGCCAGACAGAGGCAATGCAGAGGGCCCTGTGCTGAGTGTTGTAAAGGAAAACACACAGACATTAAAATGAAGTGTAACTAAAGTGAGATGAGAGGTCGCTCAGACCACAGGGAAGAGACGCCCAAATGGTCTCACACAGGCTTGGCTCGTCCTTCCCTCAGCATCCCACGTGGAGCTGAGCCAGGCAATCAGCAGGAGCCAGCCTGCAGCTTGTCTTGGCTTGCTCCTAGCAGGGAATATCCAGAAGATTTTGCCATCTTGGAATTTGGCCCTCCTCTTGTTCTCACTGCAGTAAACCGTAGGGCTGAATGAAAGGTTTGTTAGCAGCTGAAGTAAATGTTCTTTCCTCAAAAGGAGTATTTGGGTGAGACTCAACACCCAACAGGTGATCTTAACCCTTCCTGCCAGTGAGGCTTGGGAGTTTCACGACTGCAGATGTACCACTGAAGCACTCCTGGCTAACAATCTCTTTTCTCGCTGCCACTTTTCTCCTTTGCTTTCAGATTGCACTCAAGTGTGCTGACATCTGCAACCCCTGCCGGCTGTGGGAGCTGAGCAAGCAGTGGAGCGAGAGGGTCTGCGAGGAGTTCTACCGCCAAGGTCAGCCCCTGCCCTGTGCTCGGGACACAGAGCTGCTACGTGGCAGCAGCCTGCCTCAGGCCTCAAATCCTCTCACAGTGTGCTGCATTTCAGCTCTTCAATTTCACAGAGGAACCCACAGCTTGCCTCCTCACTGAGAACCCTCAAGCCAGCCTTAGCATTTCCAAGCTGAAACCATGTCAGGGCTACAGTACGCTAAAATCGCAGACTGGCTTAGTTTGGAAGGGATCATCTAGTTCCACCACAGGCAGGGTTGCCATCCTCTAAATCAGGCACTAGATAAAGCTGTCCAGGGCCCCATCCAGCCTGGCCTTGAATCATCTCACCAGCCGCTGTGTTTTATCTCACGTTCAGACTCTCACTGCAGCTCCTACAGCAGTCTCTTCTGCGTACAAATGTAGAGAGTTCAAAAGCAGTTCCCCAGCATGGCAAGCCCCCCTCACATGGCTTACAGGAACAAAGTAGGCAAGCCAGTACTCTGCTAGAACTTATTGCAAATGCTTCAGACCCCTGCAGGGAGCTCAGTCATGCAGGGCTCTTTTTAAACACAGTAATTGCACCATTTGGCTCTATCTGCATAGGCAAGGTCATGCTGTGCTACAACACGGACGGGGTACAACAGAGTTTAATCACTGCTAAATTCTTTGTTTGCAGCATCCTGAGAGCCTCAGGCAAGCAGTACAAATTCTGGAAGAGCACACAATGAAGTACTCAATTCAGTTAAAATTCTGCTGTATGAAATTATTAAGCAACATTTAGGCTGGTACCTGGTACAGCTAGTCCTAACACTAACAAGCAAGGACAAATAGGACAAGTTAATTTTTGGCCAATGTCAGTTTAAGCCAGTGAAATGTCTTCTACTTCAATGCTTTTGCAGTAACAGAAGCAATTTGCAAGATGTAGGTTTGTGTTATCAGATGTATAGCCAAGACATGAGGGCAGTGCCCCACTTGTCCCATACCACATCTTTAGGGCCTTGAGGGACCACGCTAAGAAAGGCAGCAGCCCCAGCTCTTGCAAACTTTTGCTTTTTCCCCAAAACTCCAAACCAAACACGCCAGCAGAATTTCTGAAATACACCTCTGAGACCAGTTATATGCACTATACATAGACCAGTTAGAGCTGTACAAGGAAAATAAGAGCAGTATATGTGGGAGAATGTACAAAAAACACAGTTTGACTGTCAGTAGTGGCTATGTAATCCTGGTAAGTGTGCACACACACACAAAAAAAAAATGTATACCATACAGTAAGATATCATTATTACTTAAAATAATATATATTATTTTAGAACTTTCAACCTCCTTAAAAACAATGCTGGGTCTAGAAGGTATTTTTTGTGACATTTGAGAACCATTGCTCCTCTGATCTGATTTTAACTACAGATGAGGCAGGTAATACCAGAATTAGCGCACTGTTTAATTTTCCTTCTGTTGTGCATACAGAAGTTTGAGCTCTTTTGTTTTTGGTTGTGTGGGGTTTTTTTTTTTGTTGTTGTTTTGTTTGTTTTTTTTCTAATGCCATTTTAATATCATTTGGTTGTTTGTGAAGCTCAAAATGTTTCCCTGGTATTTCCTAACTACCTAGTTAAAATGAAAACAGTCTCCTCACATTTAAAACTCAATTGTGTGTGTAATAGAGAGAAAGGTAAGGCTTAGGAATGCACATAGTATGTACAGGACTATAGAGGCTGAGCAGCAGTAAAAAATTCAAGTCAAAACTGTCCGCTAGTGGGTATAAAATAAAAGTGTTTTTAAACAGAAACAGTGGATAGGAAGCAGAATGTTTCTTTTAGGTTGAATATGATGTTTTGTCTGCTCTAGCATAATGTTATTTATGGATATGTTTCTTCTAAACAGCACTTGCAGTGTCCTTATTAGTAAATAAAATAGACAAGCAGAACAGCACAGCTTGTACACAGCTGTGCCGTAGGTGGGCAGGAGTCTGTACCCCAAAGACTTGCAGCCTGGTAGTGTCTCTGAGAGTGTAAACAATCACAAAAGATGAGTGTTCCACTCACAGTGTTTAAAAAAATACTGATTTGCTGCAATCGTTTAATGGGCTAATGCTCGAATGTGGAAACCAAATCTCCCCTCTGAGACAGGTGGTTGCTGTCTGCATGGCAACAGCATCTTCAACTGGAGCAATCAGAGCTGCTTTGCTGCTGAGCTCTTGTATGCAGCTGACCTGTCCTCTCCTGCCACTGCAGCATCTGCGTGATCATTGCTGTCCATTGCCTTTAGGCATAAAAGAAATGTTTTAACGTTCTTAGCTATCATGGAATGGCCAGGGTTGAAAAGGAGCACAGTGATCATCTAGTTTCAACGCTCCTGCTGTGTGCAGGGTCACCAACCACTAGACCAGGCTGGAATGCAGCTATGTATGGGAGTGTCCTGTATGATCCTTTCTGCACCTGCAGGAGCAGTTTCTACTGACTGTTTTTAAGCATTGTCTCAGTGCCCAGTTTAGTCAGTTTTGCTGCAGTTGAGGTGGCAGCAAGGGTGAGCAGGTCCTTCACCCAGCTGTTCATCAACAGTTTGGGCTAGTCACTGCAGAAGTCTTCAGGACAGTTCCAGGTTCACAACCAGAAACTCATCCTTCACTTGATCCCATACTAAGTTGTGAAAGGGGCAAGGAGGTCAGTCAACCACTTTGTTTCAAGTCCATTGTGTGCAGAAGACTGTGTGAGGATTTCCTGGACTACCAAGGGAATTAATGATGCAAGTTCAGCATAAACATAGATCCCATACCCAACCACATGTGACACAAATGTAAGACAAACTTGAATTACATCCTTTTTTCACGTTTATAACCTCAATCCTATGATTTTTAACACATGAATTGTTACTCTGGTTTGCAGTAGTTTACTAGTGTAGACACCGCTGTGGGCTGCCAGGCACCATCATCCTTCAACAGCTTTTTTCACAAGCACACAGTAGCAACCCACACTGCAACACAGCAGCTATCTTAAAAAGGAAGATTCTCAAATACTTAAGTGCTTACATTTAAAGTTCATTCAAAAGTCACCTTTCCTTAGAGAGATTTTTCTTCTTTGCATGCTTACTCGCTTTGATACCTTGAAGAAAAAAGAAAAAAGATTAAAAAAAAAAGGTATACTTGGACATTTAACGTGGTTCTCACTGGTGCCAGGTTCCAGCTGCTCAAAACCATACAGCTGCAGTCATTGTATGAGTCTGACGCAGGTATGGAGACAAAAGTAGCAGAAATTCTTATTCTTTTTTTTAATGTTGTAGGTGACCTGGAACAAAAATTTGAACTGGAAATAAGCCCACTTTGTAATCAACAGAAGGATACAATACCAAGCATTCAGATTGGTAAGTATTAGCTTCATTCTGTCTCCTCTGTGTTTATCTCAGTGTGGCACAAGCTCAAACAGAAACTGAAACACGATACGTGATAAAATCCATCTGGAACATAAACCCAGTGAATCAGCAGCAAAGGTCAGCTTTGTGAATACTGAACACCTGATCTAGGATTGACTTCTTGCTGTCTTCATCAGTTGACACACGACATTGTTTCAAATGCGTCATCAGCCAGTTGCAAGCTTATTTCTGTGGAATACTTTGGCTGTTTGGGATGATGAGGGAAAAGCATCCCCACAACTGCTGAGTGCACTGCAAAACCTCTCATTTAAAGTAGCAACAACATTATTTTCCTGTCCAGTTTCCTACAGATTCTTCATAAACACTCCACAGTATGATGCTCCTGCAGAATCCAGAACATGGAAAGATTTATTAAGAGCCTTCAGGCCATATTCATTGTTGCCTTAGTAGTTCTCTGAGTATCTGAGAGCATCCAGTCAGGGCAGCAACTCCAGTTTCTTCATCTTCCCTTCTTTTTAAAAACATTTGAGCTGTCCTCCATAAAGCCTGACACACTACCTGCAAAGAACTGAGCAGTTTTCTCCTCTCCTCTGTGCTACACACTGCCATCCCCACAGCCTCCCCTTGCTGGACAGCAGATTGATTTCAAGCAGCGAGCAAGTTTCCATGACCGTGTTTGCAGATGACACTCAGCAGCCCAGTGGTTACTTTGTAGTTCACATTTCCATAAATGCATTTGCAGTTTCACACCATATGCATGGGATGTTAAGCAGACAGCTGTATAACCATTAAATAGTACCTGTCTCACACCAGAATGATTGCTTCTGAAGTGTTTATCTTCCTCTTCCAGAAAGTAATTTAATGTGTCTCTTAACCCAACTGTATTGTTACAGCAAACTGCAGATACCATGTGTAGATAAACCTGCTACCATTTGTCTGTCCCCATATAAAAGCGAGGATGCAATCATACACTAAAATGGGTTTTGAAGTATCCTTTTTTCTGAACTCGATTTTGTGGGAATCAAACTCCAGTTTATGACTTAGAAGTTTTATTTCCATTTGCTTTCATCTATCAGCGATTTTGCCAGAAGTACGATAACTTAAATACAAGCTTTTCCTATTCATAAGTACAACCCCACGCTAAGGTCACTCCTCAGCAGTCAGAACAGACTTATTTCTAACTTAGAGAAGCTGTTGCATAGTTTTCCCATGTGATATTAAAGGCCAGCACAGACATCTCAACTGCTGTCCTTGTCTGCACTCTGCGGTACAAAAGGTATTTATGACATATAGGACAGTATTCAGAAGCCCACGAGCTACTGCAGCCTGGAAAGTTCTGGAACAGGAAGCAGAATAGCCACAGCAGCACTTACTGCTATTGCAGCGATAACTTCAAGCACTTTAAGGGGCTTAGATGCCACTACAACTCCTCTCATATCTCATGCACAGCTGCAGCTGGGAACCTGTTCCCCTTTTTCTAGAATAACTAAAATTTGACACTAAAAACCAGTGTCAAGTTTTTTCTTTTCCCCAAGCTTACCCCAGACAGACAGATCCCAATCTTGGTGATGTGTGCTGGTCAAAACTTGCCTGTTTCAAGAGGAACTGATGGTTGCTTGAAGGTTTATGGTCATTTTTCCTCAAAGTTTTCACAACTTATAGCACTGTACTCTGCTGAGGTGCTACAGGGGATAATGCACTCAGGCAATGAATTTGCTCCTCACCTGCTGTACTCTCTTTCCCTAGGGTTCATGACGTACATTGTAGAGCCACTCTTTGAGAGGTGGGCCCAGTTTACAGGAGATACGCCCTTATCTGAAAACATGTTAAACCATCTCAGGAGGAACAAGGCAAAGTGGAGGAGTTTGCTCCATAAGCAACACAGCAGTAGTAGGAGCAATGACCACTCAGGTCAAGTAACTGACAGCCAGGAACAGACTTTAAATGAAGAAGAAACTCCTTAGTGGCAGCTTTGCACTTTTCCTTATAGCACTGCTATCTTCGTCTTGATCACAGCAGCAAGCAAAATCCTGAGGAGCTAGGAGCCTCTTGTCAAGACCATGGAAAGGGAAGAAACAGCAAAGCAGATGCTCTAAGGGTCCTTATGAACAAGCCCGTGGTTCTGCTGGTTCCTTTCTGGATCTCCATCTTTCTCTCCCCTCTCTTCATTCTGCACATGCCTGATGCCATCCATCACTTCAGATCATGAACTGCTTGAATGCAGGTCGGGCCAGCAGAGCTGAAGCCGAGCCAGTTACTGCTGCCATGAAGCAGGGAGGATTACTGAGAGAACAGGGGAGGATAGAGGCACTCTTGGTTATATATTCATTTACCATGAGTCATACTGTGACATCTGTACAAAGGCCCAGAGCGCCATACGCTTTCCAGTCCGGCAGCTGGGCTGCGCATGAAACCACCAGCATCTTCAGAACCCAGAGGACACTGGTTGAATGAGACAGCGCTCACAGAGGGCAGAGAGAATCCGGTTATTTTAGTAATTAAAATAAAAGCCTTTTTAACTTTTGTATTCTGTGCACTAAACAGATGTATGAACTTTGGACTGAGGTTACACAACTCCGTGTACACAACTCCAGTGTAACAAGGCTCGTTTTGGTAATCATTTTTATGCCACTTTGGACGGGCATCTTCTCATTGCAAGGAACGGTATTCCCTCGCAAATGAAAGGGAAGGTGTTGTACAGTCTAACCCTTTGAAACACGAACAGATCTACCTTTTGAGTACTGTTTCAAGTAACGTGTTTATATTCATATGTGTACATTTTCCTGTAAATATGAGACGCTACTGATTCCCATGCCAAAATACTGGAGTATTGTGGGATTGCTACCTGTAAAAAACATTGGCACTGTGAACAGAATACTGTTAGTTTTAATACAAGAGAAACCATTTGTAAATATGGTATAGAGTTTATTAATATTCACCATTGTTTGTGGATAAAAGCCTTAACTTTTAGCATCCTTCATCTTCTGATAGCTGCCAAAATCATATGATTACAAGATACAATTCTGTACTGCCTTTCCACTATCAAAGGTATATCACAGGTCATTAAGGAATGAAGCCTGGCAGGACAACTTCTTGAAAACTTCAAACACATTCCATATGGATCCGTGCTGTTAAAACCGTAGCACCCTGCACATTCAGTATAGGCAAAGGCTTCCCAGAGCCTGAAGTTTTAGTTCAAAACAAAGAAGCAAAGCCAGAAGCCCACAGCTACAACCACAGTTCAACAATTCAATCAAATTAACATTTATTCAAGAGTGAATTTTTATTTAAATAGCATAGTGAACTAAAAAGCACGACATCCTACTAATTCTGGTGTCCAGCTGTTTTCTTAAGTGATCTTGTAGTGGAGATCCCCCCCTGTATTCTCTTACTTAGATAGCCAGGATATAAATGCATTTGTATTTTTCTTTTCATTAAAAAAAAAAAAGAAAGAAAGAAAGAAAGAAAGAAAGAAAAACCTTCAACCAACTGCTAGATCTGTCTCACTCATTGAAGGAAAAAATGCTTTCAAGTCAGCCTGTAAGGAAAATCCTTGTAACTGTCATAGTAGTTGAGGAATTCTATGAATGCTATGTTCATTTTTCTGAAAGATACATGGCCCTATTTGTGTCATAAACAGCCTCAGTTCATTCTATACGAAGCTTCCCTTAAGCTTCCATGATTTCACTGAGATTGCATTCTTGAGCACTACTGCATTGCACCAAAGCGATTGCCCTCTCTCCCCAGAGGAGCTAATCGTGTTTGAACAAAGTGCAGCGTTGTTGTAAACCCTCAGCACATCAAATCAGCACAGCTGTTTTCCAAAAGAACTAGCAGATATGGCCACATAACCACGTTCAGAGGAAGTGTCTTTGGACAGACCATCAAAGCACTATTTAAAGTTGGTGTTTGAGAGGAATAATGCTTGCTTGGAGAGTTGCAAGGGTAGATGCAGTAGAATTTGTTTTTAGTTACAGGGAACACTGACTTTGTTAGACAAAGTCTTCATGATCATACGGTGACTAACGTTTAAAGGAAAACAAAAAGCACAAGGTTTAGTAAAGGATTCTTTATTCTACTAAGTCATTAGACATGTATCTTCAGAGAAAAGGACTGAAACTCAGTGAAATAGGAAGGTGGAAATCACTAGTCTCCTTCCTCTCTCTTCTAAACAAAACTCATATATTAGATGCACCATAACAGTCAAAGTCAAGGAGTTGTGGTAGAATAAAATTATTTCTAACTATAGGACATAAATGCCTTTTTAACCACCTGATGGTGGAGGTGGCAGCATTACCACTTTACAGCGTTTTAGAAAGATATTTCTTCATGAAAGATCCAGGACAATTATTAGGACATTATACAAGCAGTATAATGGGCTGCCTACAAGCACTTAAGTACATACAAAAAAATATCATTTCCCTTGTTTTGTCTTTTATACTAAGAAATTGAAGCCATTTTCCATCTAGTTCAAAGAATTTTTTTAAAGCATTCGGAGGTTTAGTTAAATAAACCTGGTGCCTAGCAGCAAAAAAAGCTCTTGACAGAAATGTGCTGCTGAGGAGCATCCAGAAAATAGGTCCAACAGGAGAGCTTAGTGCATGTCAAGTTCTGTTACAGCTACAGTGCATCCAAGGTTTTTTCTGTAATTAGAGCCTAAGGGGCCTATTACAAGACTGCTCTTACCAAGTTAAATCTTCCTAATAAACTTTGAAAAGCTGCTCTTAAAACAAACAGGGTTTTTTTGCTGTTGCTGTTTGTTTTGTTCGGGCTTTAGGTTGGGTGCACTTAATGTTCTTGCTGGATTTCAGTCACCTTATCTAATGAAACAATGCTCAAAATAGGTGGCTCCAGAAATGCGTCTGTAGTTGGAAGGCAAACCCATTACACAAGTTTGGGCATAGACCAGTTTGCCTCAGGTGCTCTAGACAAAAGTGAGCTGAAAAATCAGGCTCTGGCAACAGATGTCTGGCAACTAGATTCACTGGGATCTGTGCTTGGACTAGGTGATCTCAGAGGTCTTTTCTGACTTTAATGCTAACTTATACAATTCTCCACAAAACAAGCCAAACCGTACCTGCTACAGCAAAATCAGAAACACCAGTGCTTGGTGTGGTAAGAGCTTGGTATTATCTAGTAGTTTAGAGAACATTTTGGGGCTGGGATTTCTCCCCAAGGATGCCAACAGGATAGTGTATGAACAGATTGGAAAAAATGTGCAGACAATACAAAGTCTATGGATCGTTACCCTGGCAGCCCTATTAGCCACTTTACAGAAAGACTTAGTAGATCATTTTTCTTTGCTACTGGGCTACTACAGTTAAAAGACTCTCCAGTTTTAAAACTGAGTTGGGTTTTTCGTATATGTAATGAAGGAAGCAGATAATTGCTAAGAACAAGCATAACACACTCTAACAATGCCACACAAATACAGTTCACTTAATTGATTAAAACCAGCTTCTTTAAATCATTTCATCAAAGAGGCAAAGTCTGAAGAGTGGTAATAAGTGGCATTTTTACATTGGTTAGAACAATATGTACGTATGCACTTTCACTACGTAAAGGTTTGACCTGCCTTTGGGTTTCTAAGGGCTGACATTCCGGAAACCAACCAAAATGGGAAAACAAGAACTATAACAAATGTACACTTCTGAAAAATAGAAGCAGACAGATGAGTAGCTGACATTAAGTAGCGCCTCCAGACGATCTCTCTAAATCATAAATCTATTCTTTTCATGTGGACTATTGGTTTTCAGTAAGAAAATCAAACCCTCCCAGAACGATCAACGAGAAGGTTGCTACCACAGCAAATGGAATGATCTACATCTCAAACTGCACAGCTGTCTTAACAGCTTTTCTCAACTCTGGTTGAACTTTCTATTAGAAGTTTCCATCAAAACAGAGGTGGACTCCTATGAGCCCTTTCATATGGACTCTTCTTGGAAAGGAGAAACACTCCTTTTATTTTCAGGTATCAGATACCAGACATCATCTATAGCCTTCTATTCTAATGAACTCAGATAAGCTTTCCTTAAGATTCTCCCGCTCTTCTCCTGACACCACCACCCACAGACTCAATAATAAAATTTAAATTAAGATGCCGCAAATCTAAAACAAAGAAAAAAATCCATGCCAAAACCTAAACAAAACAGAAAAAAAACACAAGGCAAGCTTCATGCCATGAACATGTGTGGAAATTATTTTGATTGGTGCAAACTATTACTCTATTGTTTCTATAAGTCATCCAATATTTTAGGTACATAAACTTTCTGTGCAGAGCATAAGTTTGACTTGGATGTAAAAATATATTCTGCTTATCTCTGAAATCAAGATTGTATATGTCATGTTTATTGTAAAGCATTTTATATATACATATTCACATATCTTGTACAACTCTATGGGCCAAACACTGGTCCCACCAACTTCACCGGGACCAAGAATCAGCCCACATATGTGCGTATATTTGCCATATGCATCATTCTAAAAGGAAGCACTAGATTGTGTGAAAATGCTGTGACTGCTATGCAGTGATGCCAAGAGACTTAATTGTATCTTTTTTAACATACTGCTGTAAGTATTCATCATGTCAAAGAATGACAACTAATAAAATAAAAATTTAAAAAAAAAAAAAAAAAAAAAAAGGTGTCCAAAATTTATTGGTAGAGGGAGGTGCGAGGCCACACCTGGCATCCTGTGCCCAGTTCAGGGCCCCTATGACATGAAAGACATGGTTGTACTGGAAAGAGTCTAATGGAGAGCTTATGGAGATGATAAAGGAAATAAAGCATTTCTCCTACAACAAGAGGATGAGAAAGCTGGGACTGTTCAGCCTGGACAAAATGAGGCTTGGGGGAGACCTGATCAATGTGTATAAATACCTGAAGGGGGGGGATGCAGAGAAGACAGAGATGGACTGGCCAGTGATGCCCAGTGACAAGACAAGAACAATGGACACCAACTGAAACACAGGGGGCTCCCTCTGAATATTAGGAAGCATTTCTGTGCTGTACACGCAATGGAGCACTGGCACAGGTTGCCCAGAGAGGCTATGGAATCTCCTCCTTAGAAATCTTCAGAAGCCACGATGGTGTTGGGCACCCTGCTCTGGGAGTCCCCGCTTGTGCAAGGCTTGGGACCAGATTCTTTGATTCAGTTCCAGTATCTACTATGTTTTAAGATCATTGGTTAATTTTAGACTCATTTCCCATTTGTGGACCATGTTATGTATTTTATAATCAACAAGACAGAGGCTTGTGAAGTTTAATTGAAAGTATTGGTAGTGATGTTCTGCAGTGGTAAATAGTTTTAAGTGAAAAATATCTGTCACTGCAGATAGACATTTGCCACTGCCAGGACTGATTGCTTGCCCAGAAGTTTTACACTGTCAGTATTGGAAAACCACTCACACTATCACAATAGATATTAGTACTGTTTTTTTCAATAACAGCTAAGTCTATACAGTCTCCTATTCTGCATAAGCACTCTGTACAGACGCTGATGTTTAATGGTTCAGTACAAATAATATAGCATGAATGAATCCCTGAACTTGGCAGCAAAAGGAAAATTATAATAGGGCTTTTTTCCTCTTGGCCTGACCAAAGCACTAACTGCAATTTAAAGCTCAGATGTAGAATCTGAGAAATAAAAATATTAATTAAGCAAAGGAGCACTACAACACTATATGACAAATTATTACTTAGGTGACAGATACTCCTCCCCAGAGGGCAGGAAGACATTGTCCCTCCAGTGTCTAACGCAATCCAATCTTCTCTAGATTAACATAGGCGTAGTTCTAAAATACACAGGTTTTAACAACAAGAAAGGCATATGCTGTTCCTGCTCATACACCTCTTGATCTTTCAGCAGTCTAGCATGCAGTAAGTCTAAAACAGTTTCTGTCAGACTGTTCCTAAGTAAATGAGCCACTGCATAGACAGGAAAGGATTTAAATTGGCCGTGTCACTAAAGCCAGTGAGTCACTTTACCATATCCTGGGCTGGTTTGAGCCTCAGGAGAAGTTTTACTAAACATCACACAACAGCTCCATCCACAAAAACTACATTTTGTTACCTACAGTGCCACTTGCTAAAAGCTCCCTTCAGTGGCCAGACAGCTCGTAAAGATAGGCAGCAGCAGACATAGTTGCTTTACCCCCAAGAAACGTAGTAGTCACAATCCAGTAATAAAGAAGGAATTGCTTACCGTTCTCTGAAGACCAGGACTCACTGAACACTCCAAAGGAGGCAATCTCTGAGTAGAGATCCTTCCCCCCCTGCTACCAGCCCTTAAATGAGATTAGGGAGAGGTAGAACCCAGGTCCACCCCCTTCTGGTCGTACAGAATTGCTTCCACCTGTGCTCCCAGGGCTGGTAATGCCCCTTCACCAGGCACTCAATCACTGGTTCAGGCTGTGACCTCATGGTTCCAATACACAGTGCCTTGCAGACCTAAAGACGAGGAACTCAATATTACAAGATC